GAACCGATGGTAAAGTTGCATGGTCAGCGATGTGGCAGAAGGTAGAAAACGTAAAATATTTTCATAGCTTAGACTCACGCTGCGAGCATGTCCATAACGGGAACGAGTCGAACAATGGACGACAGATTCTTGTACACAACGCAGGGCAATTTGAAGATTGACCGGGGCCCGACTTTTCAGCTTGTGCCTCTACTTTGTAAAGGTACGAGAAATTCTGGTCGAGACGTTGCTGCTGGTCTTTCGTCTGATTTAAGTCATTTATTGCATTATTTATGCACCGTGTTTTATGTTGTGTTCAGCAAAAGCGATGTACTCTAATTGAATAGAACAAAAAGAATGAAAACTATATACTACATCAAATTGAAGGAACGAACGAACTGCTATCTTAATTCTGATGCCTAGCGATAACCGGCCATTCTGCCACACTGATCCCACATCGTGTAGTATCGCTTTGCTGAAAGTGCTGTAACAGAGACTTTAGCCTGCACTGTGCAACAACACTACAGTAGACAAGAAAGCTTGTGTGACCACTCCGCTCAGCAGAGCGCTTTCGGGAAAACTAAGGCCCACAACCGCCCTCCCCCCGCCATTATCCACAGCGCACCGCTAGGGATTTACTGGAACAGCAATGAAGCTATCTCAACGGTTGCCGGTTACCCTGACCATTATGGACACCGAAGTTTCACGAAGCTTCAGCTTCCTTGAATTGAGTCGAACGGAGAATTGGCCCTCTCTCCGAAACAACGACAGTATGAAGATTGGTCTGTAAATTTTAAAGAACATAAACTTTTTCGTGAACATGTTTCGGCTTCATGCGGTCTGCATTGTCCTTCGCATTCACTTGGTGTGCTGCAGTTTACCCATCGCTGTTAATTCTGAGCGCTGAAGAAGAGGATCGCCAGCCTGGCAGTCCTGTGTAGCGGGCTTCTGTCAAATCGTTTTTTCTACAAAACCCTATGATATTAACCTGTAATGTACATTGCTTAAGACATGTTAGAAGAGACTCTACAGAACGAGCTGCACCAGTTGCACAGTTTCGCAACAACTTGTTTAAAAAAACACTCAATGGCAAAATACCTGAGGTTGAATGTTGACGAGGCCCTGGGCTAGGAACAACAGATAAACGCAATTGTAAAGTACGGTGGTCCAATTCATTGTGGAACTTCAAGTAGTGGCACATTCATTCAAAAGATCCTGAATTATATAGCTCATCCTCTAAGCTACATCTTCCGCTGCCACAGCATTCAAAGTCTTTTGAATCTATTTGGCGGACTATGCAAATGTCAGCTTGAGGCGTTAATATCCATGCTAACCGGATGCTTGATAAAGAGAACAACTGATTTGGGCAGTTCTTTTTTGACCGACCCAACCCACCTACCATATCAGTGCCTCTAACATTGCCCTTCTCATTAGTCAGGCACAAGGTCCATGTGCATTCCCTGTAGGTGCCGAACTGCGGCTTACCGAAGGTCAATAGTTCCGTTCTATGTCCAATATCTTATAAATCCCAGGAAACGACAGTCATTTTTTGTCAGATCTTGTTCAGCCTGTGAACCAGTCCGAATTGTTGTCACTAGAGCAGCGGAAAGTGTCAAGTTTAAGTTCACTGCGTTCAAGACGATATTCCTCTCAATGGTCACCTACGGTCATGAGTTGTGGGCTATGACTGAAAAACATTCATCTCGGGTACAAATGGTTGAAATGGAATTCCTGTGCGAAATCGTTAGCCTCATGCGCCCGAAATAATCAGGAATATAAATTTTCGAAGGATACTTGGTGTCCAGCAGTCTTTTCTCTGAACCGAAAGGTCACGGTTTTGTTACGTGCTGCGAACGCCTTCAGAAAGATAGGTAAATTGGACAACCTTGGAATCTCGGTTTTTCTTCAATTTTATGATTGCGCTGCTTTTGTGTCCTTCTTTCCATAAAGTTGATGGGGCACTGTTGATCATCGTTTCTTTGCCATATTTGTTTTTAAGGCTGTGTCTACAAGCATGTCCCAAGCGCAACAGATAGTATCCTGTTTTATTCCACTGAGTGATACTCATTTTTCAGTCTCGAAAGAAAGAAGTGCTAGTATCTCAGACCGGGGCTTAAACTTAGGAACCACTGATTCTTAGTTCGACGCCATATATGCCACGCGTGTATAACGTTCCTTTCAGAAAAGAAGCCGAAGCAGCTAATCTTTGCCAACCGAAAGGCAAAAGTCCCAGAGAACGATAAAGGCTAACCTGGATCAGGTTTATCAAAGAATTTTGCTCGAGACTATGGTTGTTTTCCGCCGAATCTCAAACGTTTGTGCACGATCCGGATGATGGACGCCATATTTTGCGCATCTGCACGGCGACCGGAAAAGACAGACAGTCATGCGAATTTACTGATTGAATGTTTGATCCTGTTATGAAACATCAATTACTTCAGGTCTAATTATTTAGTTCATTGCTATATCCATGAGTTTGTCAATTAATATTTGCTTAGGGTTCATTTAGGTAAATGCTTTGACTGATGATTCTTGTACAGTTTGCAGGTACATTCCCTGTGCAATTGCATCTGGTATGGATGCTGTAGGATTGCGGTTTCGAGGTTGTCTGTGATGGGTAAGGGGAAGAAGAAGCAAAGTGGCAACTCGCAGAATTCTGCTGCTGTGCAGCAGCCTGTTGAAGTTGCAGAAGAGACTGGCAAATTGCTAAAGAATGAGAAACCGAACAATTACGCAGGAAAGTGTCGATCAAGTGAAGCTGTGGCAACCACGACGTTCTGTCGTCAGTCCGTATCGCATCATACTCATGTGCATGTAAGCGAAATTCTTGTGCATGTTCACTGCATAGTGAAAAGGATGAATTCCGATACTATGAATTTAGTAGCAAGCTTTTAGTTTCCGACACCGTCAGTAAGAAAAGCAGTCTCTCACTTTTCCAAATTTGCACACCGTCCCACTGCTTCGACTATGTATGGGATCATTTAAGCAGACTACAGATCCATAGTTTTTGTTGGGTAGAACAAAAACAAAGGTGCCCCGAGGCTTAGGCATATATATCAAAAATAAATCCGGGTATCGGGTTTACTGGCAAGGTGCTAATTCGGAAGTCCCGGTAAGAATAACAGTTTGACGTTATGGATCTAGAAACAGTTGATTTGTTCAGTGGCAGTGAGGAACTGTCTGAAATCTCAGCAGAAGCCTGTTGTACCAAAATGTGTCTTGTTTTGCGTTGAAAATTTACTGCTTGACAAGGTTCACGGAAAATCGCATTCGTCGTTTTGAGTAAGAATAGGATACGTTATTTTGCGATACGGTTGAAGCCATTGTTTCGTTAATGGGTTGAGTGATTTCTGGAGATAACTATGAACTGCTATCACACACTGTTCTCCACGTCTTTCATGTACTATTAACGATGGCGTGCAGATGAGGTCGCTTTGATAGGAGAGCGTTGTCTCGGGAGGTTTTTACCGTATCATATTTTCGG